TGCTTTCTGGGTACTTTCAAAGTGTATGAGTCAATGAAAAAAAAATACAATTTTTTTTTCAAATTTATTTTGGGGGGTGACTAAGGGGGGTGCGGTCGCACCCATCGCACCCCCCCATCTGACGGCCCTGGTAGCCTGTGAATTTAAGAATTCTTTTTAGCAAAAGATGCCAGGGTAAATTGGAGAGTTTATTCTGGATGTTGAACCCCTGCTTATTGGAATATATATCAGATACAATTCAAGAAGTCCAAATATATGTCATTGCCTAACTCACAGGCACAATGAAAAGCCTCAATTTAAGACGACACCTCATCCACTTATTATATAAGTCAACATCAGTTTTTGCGCCTGTGCTTGAGAGTGAATTGTACATACGTTGTAACCTTACAGACTGCTGTCAATCCAAAATCAGACTTTCATACATCTGTATATAATCTTCATATGATCAAAAACTATTTTGAAACTAACAGAGTAAGTTAAACAAATTTTTTTGAGTGACTACACAGTTGGTAATATATGTTGTTTTGCTCAAAAATCAGAGCTTGATGATATCATGGACATGCATTGCTTTTTTATAATCTTATATTATGGAGTCACAAAGTTCAGTTTAACATTTCATGTTTTTAACCCTGACAACATGATCATTGTATGATGACATAAGTCAAAATTTCAGACTCATGTCGGATGGTTTAATGAGCTATGTCGGGCATAGAAATGTCAATTGTTGACAAGAGCATTGTAGGGTCTATTTTAAATTCTCATGATTTTCCATTTTCAATTGCACGCACAAAAATATATTTATCTGTGTAAAGTACTACACTTTCTTTGATTTGGAAGTAAGGTACACAGGGTAAAATTGGTGTTTACCAACATCATTATAATACATGTTTGATAACTCATCAATTGTAAATTTGTACCAAATCAGCAATCAATATGAAATAAAATTAAATAAAAAATCTAACCTATTTTTCATATATTTTGATTTATTTAGGGAGACAATTTTTGATTGAGATTCATAATGAACTAATCTTTCATTCCCCTAGATTCGATCTCTCCCAAAACAAATAGATATAGTCTTAGGAACCTGCACCTATCATAGGAATAGGTTCACCTATGGGCCCAGTAAGCAACATGTGTCTCCTGGTCTCATATTAGTAAGAAATCTCGTCTAAGGAAATATTGCCATCCATTGAATGTTAAATCTTTAGGCCTACAGATGCAAATGCAGACTATGGTCAAGATATGATGAGCTTTTGGGCATGCTGGGTAATTCATGTAATTAACAAGGAGGCCATTTTGCTCAAGTGCAATATTTAGCACTGCCTCTCGTTATACATGTAAATTCAACATCATATAATTATATTAATCCATGTTAAATCAATTTATTTCCGATGCAGTCTGCAAAGTACATGTTACATCAATGTACATCTTTGGTATTATTGATCCCTTCAAGGACTTGCACTTGCAATAAACACAGCTAGAATGCTGGAGATGTTACCTTTCTTGTTCTCTAAAAGTTACCTCATACAAGGGATGATCAATCAGTTTTGAATATTTTTTTCTTATTGACAGACTTTTATGATTTTCCACCAGTGATGTACATCATTCAATTGTCTATCAACCCTGTTGAGAATATCAAAGAGATTGCTATATAAGATAAGAATATAGCGTTCATTACTTATTGATCACCCCTCGTATATGTAATATTATACTCTAAAAACATTTTTCTCTCTTATCAATATTCAAACATAGTGTTACATTGAGACAATATCTGCATTACCGTTAGATGTGAATATGTAGTTCATTGAAAAACAAAAACATCACAAATCAATTCAAGGACTTCACATGTATTTATTTACATGTATACATTACATCTAGGACATATGGAACGTGATATCAAAGTTACATCTTGCTTAGCCTTACTTAAGCCATTTTATCACAAAATTAAAAATTAAAATACACCTATTTACATATTTATACATGTATACACTTTTGTGTGGATATATTGATAGTGATACTGATTATGATTTTATAATTACCAATGGCGTAGGCGTCATATATGCGTAAAACGCCATTGCGTACTCTCAAAATTTAGAGGAAAGTTGATTTTTTATATTGAAGGCCCCACACTTTAAAAATATCAGATATTCTGATAAAATGGCCAATAATTTACATTTTATTGGTCCATATTAGTCGGAATTTCATATTTAAAAATGCCCCAGAAGGCTTGAAACACAATCTCATTTTCAAATTTTCTGGGGGAAGAACCCCCAAACCCCCCTCAGGATTTTGCTCACTCATGGCGTACACTCACAAAATACCCACGCTACGCCACTTGTTACCTTCCACAGAGAAATGAGTTTTCTTAAACATATATTTAACTCACTTTATAGATCATTACAAACTGATATTCAAAGGCACGGGAGAGCAATTTGATGTCCATACTTTAAATAAAACTCAAGTTGAAGACATATTTGTAGTTCCATTTTGCAATAGGATAGCCAAATAACAAGATTTTCCTCAATGAAACACATCATAACTTTCTCAATGTTTATTATTCTGACTTGGAATACTAAGTTTAATTTATTACAAGAGGAAAATACATCAGTGTGATAATTCTCTGGTAAGGACATAGACAACTATGAAATGTAACATCAAATTCCTAAACCTCAATGGTGTTTCATGTGGAACAAAAATATACTTGGGAAACATTCTTTTATAAGTCAAGACATCTCAGTCTTGTGAATTATGTTCACAGTTCACACCTTGAGGCCAATAGAAACAGCTATCACTTGGTCCCTGTACTATATATAGAAATACTGAACTTATTGTTTAAATATTACTATGAATGTACATTTCATATTCTACACTCAGAATACTATAAATACAAAACACTGTTTATGATATTGGAATAAAGTAATACATCACAATTTCCATCTTAAGCATTTCCCTTCAAATTCTAACCTTGGAGAAATCCATGGAAAGACATTATTTTCAGGACATACAAGGTAGCTCCTGGAACCTTAGTTATGTAGGTGATTCCTTAGAAAGGGTCACCCTGTAGTACCAGCATTGGAACAGTAAAACTATGTTGTTAGGCCTAGGCAACCATATACAGTGTCTTTTAAATAAGTTTTATATCAGTTCATTATTAAACAATACCATTCATGACGTAAATTGGAGGAATTCAGCATATTGAATATTTGAATAGTATAAATATTACACTAGGTAGAGGATAAGCTATATGTACATCATATAAAATATTAATTAAAAATGACATTACATAAAAGAGACTACAAAGTGTATGTAGTCTTCAGTTTGAACAAATACATACTTTGTAATAATACAATGTAATCATAATAAAAAGGCAACTCTACACAATAGCACACTCAGAAGACAAGGACTAACCATAAGCACTTTCAAGAAGCATTGGTTTACCAATAACACGTTTAATAAGCATTGGTTTACCCATAGCTCTTTATATAAGTATTGGTTTATCAATAGCTCTTTCAATAAGCATTGGTTTACCAATAGTACTTTAATAAGCATTGGTTTACCAATAACACATTTAATAAGCACTGGATAACCAATCATGCTTAAATAAGCATTGGTTAATATTACTGAGACATTTCATCAATCAATTGCACATTATAACACAGTTTATTTATGATATCTACAATCCTCAATAAATGAATAAATAAAAGAATCATTTTAATTTATCGGATAATTTTTACAATTCAATACAATCCCAATATTCGTAATGGGCTAAGCTGCCAATTAAGTAGATGAAATCATATTGTGTAAAGTTGTTACATGTACTACATCAAACCATACCACTTTGGTCTGAAATACTACTTTCTGGGTTTAGAATAAAACCAATCTTGTCTTTTTTTCAATATATTTGTATAACATTATGCACTGAAGGCTTCTCTCAATCACATGTACAATCATTGTTAAGACTAGCTACTCAAGACAAGTGCTCCAGTTATCGTCATAGTCCAGCATATCAGCCTATAAACCATTAGCAGAGCTTTCTTACTCATAGGAAGATTATGAATACAGATGTGTATGCTGTATGAGTTTGGATACATGACTTCTTTGGAGAATTGAAATTCTATGCGCATTGTATCATATATAATTAGACAAAATGTTCCATTGTTGCCTAAAATGCTTCAAAATCTGACACTGCCTCAAAGTTTTGACTTAGAGGTCAACGTTGAATGAATCTAGAGTTATGTTAAAGACTCAGCTGTGCTTCACCAATGAAGACTCAATTTGAAACATTATTCAATTCTGAACATAGGGTTACAGAGCTGTATTCTACAGCCCAGTAGTCAGAGGATGTAGAATGTGTTCGGGCTGTTTCATTCACTTGTACTGTCTTCAATTTAAGAAGTTCAACATGAGACTTCCACTCAGTGCTTTCAATGACTTATTGTCGTTTCTATACGTTATAATCGAAGACACTGAGGAATAAATATAGTGTGACAAACTCGCATAAAAAATCATATAATGATAGAATATAAGTAAGATAAGATAATGATGATGATGACATCTTGTTCCTACGCTCCATGTGCGTTACATTGTTGGTATTAGAAACACTAATCTGTATTAGAAACAGTCTACCCTTTTAGAAACAATTCACTGTATCAGCAAAATTGACTGTTTTACAATGAGTTGCTATACACTATATACATTATACGGGGAGATATAAACCCCTGCGGAACATTATGTACACACTTGCATTGTTCCCTTCTCTTATAAAAATCATGCAAAAATTAAATATTTAATATTTCCTACTGCACTGGAAAGTAATCTGACTATTGTTTAGGGGAGGGGGGGGGTCTTATACTGAGCTTTTTGGAAAGATCAAGTTCTATACTTTACATAAGGATCTTAATCTGGGAGACCTGTCATTTCTCATCCATTACAGCTTCATATAGACCATTAAAAATCAACCTGATACCTCACTCATGAAGTGTCACTACAGTCACGTCACAGGTATCCTATTTTCAATCTTGATTCAAGCATTGTGCTTATGGTGGTACACTTATCCTTCCCCTCTTTCAGGAAACATGTGTAGCCTTGTACGGGGGTTGATCTAAAAGTTCTGCACCATTTGCTGGTACATGTACTTTAATTTGCAATATAAAAGGAGGAACCTTTTTATGCCGTATGCCAATATTGTATGAGATTCCGTGAAACCATAGTGACATTTCATTGCGCGTAAATATCTGGGAGGGGGGGGGTCTAAGGTGGACAATAAAAATGTTCATTGACAGTGTGAAATCTAATATCTACCGTGCAAATTAATGATTAAGAAGTGATTCAAACAAAGATGACATAAGTTAATCAATAGTGTCAATTAGAATCTACATTCAGTTGAGTTAATATGGTAGCTCATAAACTGACATCAATTAAAACTCAAGTTTGATGTCAACTTACAACTCCATGTTATGATGTCAAGTAAATTACAAGTTGAAGTGTTCTCTATTTACAAAGAATATGGAATTTACAATATGAACACTATAACATTCAATTCCAAATTACTAGCTGAATAATTACATTCCCTTATATGCAGATCAGGTGCATATCTAACAGAGACTAGTTGATTATCCAATATATGTCTTACAGTAGGTTAAAATTATCCATCAGTTTCCCTTCACATGGAAAATCAGGCACGACATATATACTTTAGTATCATGTTGTTCTTGACATGTGGTGTGTCATTTTTAACATGTGGTGTGGCATCTCTCAAATGTGGTGTGCGATGTCAAATATGTGGTATGCCATAGTATGTTTCTGATAGAGGTGGGTCAGTTAAATGTGGGTCACTTGAGACATTTTACCATATTCCTACTCATGGTTTATTGAGAGAATGGTATCATAAAAACAGTGAATCTTAAAGGAAAGCATCAATCAATTTCCTAATCAGTTTTACGTTGACGTGCTGACCGCCGTGGGGTTCCATTTCCATTGGGTATATCACCGTGTGATCCAACGCCATTGCTGGAACAAACAAATGATTGTTGTACAGCACACATAAGTTTAAATCATTTAAGAGCAAAACTCGATGCTTTACAACTTTATCATATGCATCTATGTATGGATAAAGATTCAGAAAACTACTTAAGTAAGCAACATGTATAAAACTATTGCTACCAGCCTACCATGGTACATGTGATAATTTATATTTAGCATGAATTTTAGTTTTTCACGTTGCAATGCTTACCTCTCTGCAACACCATTCTTCTCTGGTTTGCCTGATTTTGTGTCAAGCAATTTCTTTTCTACTTCGTACTCTCTCATATCATCCACTTCCTTAACTTGACCAGTTGCCACTTTATACAGGAAGTTGACAATAAACTGAAAAAAACATCGCAACTTTTAATACAATTTCTGGGTGACTTAAACACATGGTTTGTCAACTGGAGGGATAGTGAGTAATTGAGTTTTGGACTTTCTCAAGAGCCCACAATGTCACGCATGCTTATATCTACACCTGGACACCTACAGGAGCTTCATTTGGACATTCCATCTAAAAGAATATAGAATTTACAAATTCATAATTAGTCTACAAACATATGTATAGTAACCATGTGTGTTTCTCTTGAATTCAGAACTGTGAATCCAATCTATGAAATATTTTTTCAGACATTATCATTATACATTACAGCCTTTAAAATTGATGTAAGTAATGTTGTTATAAATATAAATAATTGTCAACTAAACTAAAAGTCTAAAGTGCAAAAACAAATGCTCAAAGATTGATGCATGTTAGTAATTTGACATAAATACAACTCCACATGACATAAGATAACAAATACAAAAAATCTAAATAGAATACAGAAACTCCGGAGATGAGCAAATCCCACCGAACAAAATATATTTTATAAAATTTTGTCATTTTGGACATTACATGATAGAAATAATCAGGAAATAGAAGAGAAGTTCCGTCTCATCTGGAAAAATTTACACCCGAGGTCATGAACATAGGAAAATAGTATATAAAATTTGGAACAAATCTGGTGCCTCAATGGTATTTATGTTATCTTAAGAACCATTAGCATATAAAATTTTAACCAAATCTGTCTATTGGTATTTGAGTCATCAATGATTATATTTTTAACAAAAAATGGTGCCTATTTTTAAAGTTCCTTCTCGAGCAGAAGTCCTACAACCATTTAATACTGGTATTTAAGTTACATTACATTTTTTTTATAAAAAATAATGGCCATTTTGAAATTCAGTGGACCATTTTGAAAATCTTCTCTTGAGAAGAGCCCCTATGTACATGGGTATCAACATATTAAATTTGGAACACAATCGGTCATCTGGTTTTTGAGTACTCAAAGATTACATTTTTATGAAAAATGGTGGCCATCTTGAATTGAGCTGCCATATTGAAAGTTCCTTTTTGAGCAGAGGTCCTACACCCATAAGGCACAAACCTATAAGATTTGAACCAAATCTGTATTTGAGTATTATTGAGTAACTTAGTTATTGAGTAACTGGTATTTGAGTCATCGCCAGGACACACAGACAACGGACAGACAGCTGCCTCTATATCCATATGAACTTCATTCGATGGGATAATAACAAACGGAGCACCTGGATAAATCAAGGCCAAGCTGAACATTTCAAGATGTGAACATGCAAACACTTTGGTACTATGTGCATAAATATATGAAAACAAAACAATGTATAAGCAAGATGAATATCTATAAAAGAGAAAAACATTAATGTGAAGCACAAGGAAATGACAGTATTAGTAACATGCAAAAAACGTGAACTATCAAATTATATAAATGAATGTCTTCATTGTACACATACACAACTTTTTCATTTTTAGTTTTATCACTCCCATTATAATGGGATACAATTTATTATTTGTCATAAAATGAGAAATAAAATTTGACATTTGTTAATTTCAAACTCCTTTGAGAAAACACCTTGGTCGGAATCAATAAAGATTTTATGAATAAATGTATATGTAGATGTATTTCTAAAGATTATAATGCTTTAAGTAAAAGGAAGGGATTGTAGAGAACTTATTTACAGTATGTAAATATAATTATTATATCGATCTTTTATTTAGTTGCTGTTTAAAGTCTAGAACTAGGAAAATAGCAATTCCACACAGTAGGAAATCCCACCAAATTAAATATGTTTTGGCAAATCATTCCTTGTATTGAACATTTCATGCTTCTTTACTTATTAAATAGAAATGGTGTCCTATTATAACAAAAGGCAAATACATGTATGTGCAAGGCATTGTCATTTAAAGGTATCAATCTATGAAATGCTATGTCAAACTTTTGATGAGAATTGGCAATTAACCAAAAAACAATTTAATAAAAAGATTAGATTTTCAATTTGTCCATTTTTACGGAGCAAAGGTCCCATTTCCCCGGAGCATCTGACTAAATTTTGAACCAAATCTGACAGATAATCAATTTGATAGATAAACAGCATGAGAAATGGGGAGATGAATGAACGAACTAAACAGACAAGAGCTTCTCTATATCCCAACACGGTGGGATAATAAAGGTAAGTAGTCGGAAAACCATTGGACATTTATGCACAAAGTTGTCAATATTCAAGCCAAGTTGAGTAACAAGATGAATCATTCCATCTTGCACATGGAGATGTGAGAATTAAATGATCACATGCAGTTGTATAATGCAAACCACAACAAACAAGTGTGACAAAATACAAGCAAATGCAAAACATTATTCATAAAAGAACACTGTTAAAAACACACAAAGCAAACATGGTAAAAATACCAATGCTACAAAGCATATTTGTGGCTCATATTATCATATTAAATAAGCTTCATGTGTACCTTGTAATTTCATTTTCATTCAATTTCAGAGACCTTTCACTTAACATCGACATTGGGTTTAACATGTGATAGTGACCTTTACCCTAAATGTAGAAGATTTCATCATTCAGACAGAAATAGTTCAAAATGACCTCGACATTTGACCTTTCGCTATATCTGTGACCTATATACAATCAATTTTTCTGACCTCAAACCTGTGTTACTTATTCACATGATTAATATGATAATCAACAGTCTTTCTTTCCCAAAATAATTCTTGACCTCAGTCTTTCATTCCCAAAAATCTTTCTTACTTCCACTGCATTTTTTACTCCCATCATCTTTCTTGCCCCCCCCCCCAGTCATTCTGAATCCAACATTCTATCTTCTCTCCACAGTCTTTTATACTTCCATAATCTTTCTGATTCACAATCTTTCTTACCCCCAATCAGTCTCTTACCCTTACAGTCCTCACCACCAGTCTTACCCCATGTCTCTCTTACACCCATAGTGTTTATTAATCCTGCTATCTTTCTTACAACCATAGTCTTTCTTGCCCCCAGTCTTTCTTACAGAGATTGTATATAATTTGCCACCACAACCTATGGTCCACCAAGCTACCACGCCATATACGGGCTGTTTTTTGATTTGGCCTCTAATTTATGTTGCATAATTATCGCCAGAAGTTATGCATCCCAGTAATTGCAATTGGGCCAATCGCATTTATCCAATCATGAATATCAATATCTAGTTTCAATAGTTATAGACAATGTGGATCTCAATACATGTCTAAGCAGGTAGGGGTGGCAAGTTATACAAAGCCCTTCTGTAACCAGTCTTTCTGACCTCCATGATTTTTCTTATCCCACAGCCTTGTCAACATAGTCTTTCTTACCCCAGTCATTCTTACCCCATCTCCTTGGGCTATCCCAACATGCATAGATCTACCTCCCCCCTCTGGGTTCCACAAGTGCATTCATACAATAAGTGGCAATGTCTGTATTATTGTATTTGTAGCTATCTTTAACCAAGAGATCACTTTCAGTATTTGGGGGGTTTGTTACCAAGCTTATTTTGGGTGATGTTACGCTGAATGACTAAATACGGTGAATGTTTGTTAAAACATGTGACAAAGATTTTCAAAAAACCCTAAATACAAGTTAATATCTCATTGTAGTTATTATAGTACCAATCAATGATTTTAAATTTTGTTTTTTGGATCAATTAATACAAACAATACCACTTTAAGTAATGTCTAAAACAATCCCATTCAATAAGAATTTCAAGATTGTTAGACGAGGCCATTATAATAAGCATTATAAAATCTAGTCTACGATGGTATAACAGCGCACACTCATATGTATTTGCAACCTTTCTACGATAAACATACAACATCACAATCTCCCATTTTTCAGGTCCTGTAAGAAGTCTTTATCAACAGCCTCTCTTACCATAACACAATGGTAAAGTAGTAATCAGAAGAAGGGGGACTGGGGGAGGGGGAAGGGGTTAAATTGACTAGTTTCATACTAAAAGGAATACTTTTTTAGCCTTTTGGGTTTTTGAAAAAGTATCATTTTTTCCCGAAATTCCAAAATACTAGTAATAGGAATGGGGAACCTCCCCCTCCCCTTCTTTCAAAGACAGAACCTAAGAGGGGGTGTGCATAGACTTAATACATTACTATAATATATGGAGATATCATCATAACGAAACATATGTGTATGTGTGGTTAGATGCGAGGAATTAAAAATATAAATAAATGACTATATGATGGGGCCATGGCCATGTCATTACTTTAATTCGGCTTTCCCTAGGTTTCTTTTTTGCGACTTCATCCTCTACATCGATCTCTCTGACATCATCCACCTCACTCATCTGTCCTCTTGCTATTTTGTAGAGGAATCTCACAATAAACTATAACAGACCAATGTTAGACATGCATACCCTAGCTTATTTATTCAACTTACATTGATTGGACTTCTCCAATGTTTCACAGGCTTTATTCCCTGTGGCAGTCTGTGGCAGTAAACATGTGGTTTTCTGACAAATCCACCCTGGGTTCATTATCTGAATTCTAGCCAATATTAAAATTGATAACTCTCAGGGGTTTGATTTCTGAGAACACAAAATAAACAAATAATAGGAACAAGGAGAATTATTGGAACTATAATTGAAACAGTTGAAAAATTCCCTACTAGAACTATAGGCAATTTTAATAATGGCTAGTGCATTCTCAACCTGGGTAGACATCTATCATCCCTTTTTGGAGTGGATTGGGGGATACATGTAATTTGGGTTTCATTTAAGGTCAAACACACATGTTAAACATTCTGTTATGATGGCCACCTGGACATACACCCCAATGACGGCGAAAACTGAGAAGAGCAAGGATATGAGAAAATATATTTGGGGAAGCATTATGTCAAAGGCTGGGATGGCTTAACCCAAAGGTAGCAATGTAATCCTGCTGGCATTTTCTACCTATAAATATTTTAGTAATACAAAATAACTCGTGTCCAGAACTCCCATCCAATGGCCA